CGGCAAGCGAGTGGTCCTACCCCCAGAGCGTCCAACCGGCGACGGCGCTGATTTGTGCACGAGAAGAGTGACGTTGTCGTCGGTCGTGTGCAACCTGGTCTTCGCCGCCAGCGCCAACACGTCGTCTAATCGGGGAGAACGAAGTGGGGCAGCGAGGGTCAGCACATCAGGGGGGGGTGGGAAGGGAGAGCCATGGGAAAGAAAACGCATGGCCGCCACACATTCGCTTTCTTGTTGCTGTTCCCGAGCCCAATCCACAGCTCTAAAACTCTGGACGCAGTCCCGCAGATGAGCAGTGTCTAAGGCGAGTGATTCCAAAAGAGAATCAGGCGATCCGGCGGAAGGAGCGGCAGAAGATGATGTGTCGGCTGCAGAAGCAGCCGCAACCTCCACGCGCGACGACGGCGCCGCGGGAGACGAAAACGTGGGTGACACCTGTGAAGAAGGCGAAACCGGCGAAACAGAGCACGCTGAAGACGGTGATGATGACGAAGGTGCCGGTGGCGCGGAAACAGTCGACGAAGATGCCGACGCGAGCGTCGCGGATGGACGCGGCGAATGCGCGGTGACCCGGGTGGTCTTGGTTTTTGTACGAAACCTGTTAGAGCGACGGACAGGCGACGGCGTTCGAGGAACGATGGTAGCCCGCGGTTGACGTCCGAAGTAAGCTGGGTCGGTGACGGTACCACCGGAAGCAGTGGTAGTCTTGGCCCGAGTCCGTGAGGAGATGAGTGGTCCACGCTCCGGAAGCGAGGACAAGACGTGCACATATTTGTTCGCTGAGGATGCAACAGAGGGCACCAAACGAGATGCGACAGAGGGCAGCCGCGGGGCAGAGCCGGTGAGTCCGGAAACTGCGAAGACTCCCCAAGGTCGCTGATGATCCGTGCAAGTAGACGACGAAGGTGGTGAGACGTCCATCATCCGTGGGGCGTGTCGACGAAAGTCTCCAAAGTCGGAAGGCTGTAGTGGTGGGGGCGAGAAGACTCCGGCAGAGCAAGGAGGGGTGAGCCCACCCAAACCGATGTCCGGCGTGGAGGACGAGTGGTAGTGAAGCCCGCAAGCTCGAATGAGGAACACACCCGCGTGGTCAACACCATCAATGCAATCCTGGCCAGTCCTGTCCGTGTCTTGTGCCGGCAAAGGCATCCGCGAAAGAAAATCGGCGTTACCAGTCGCTGAACCTTTCCGATACTTCAGCGTATACGTGAAGTTGAAACTCGAGCCATCGTTGCACCCGTGCGTTGTGTTCCCCCACCTTGCCGATGTTCTCTGAGGCTTTGTGGTCCGAGTAGATGACGAACTTGGTCGACCACAGGTAGCCGCGAAGGCGTTTGATTGCCCAAACAATCCCACCAGCCTCCAGATCCAAAAC